GACACTGTATAAATGTAGTTTCCAATCTTTAAAGAAAAAGTACTCGTGATTCGTATTTTCTGGTCACAGATAGAAGTTAAAATATTTATTGTACTAACTGCTGTGAGGTGAACTTGTGTTTGTACAACGCGAAATTAATTTCAGTTAGATAATCATTAGTGTATTCTCTAAAATGAAAAAAAAACATTTTTTATGCTCTAACATGAATAAATGTTATTGCTTACTTTGTCAAAGAGTTTAATCTCTCTCTGTTATTCAGAGTAATCTGTCAATCAATGGAAATTAAATAAAAAACTTGGCTATAATACGAAATTATAATATTTAAAAAACTGAATCAAACAGATGTACTTCGAAATACGTGACCAAGTGGTTAGCGAATCGGGCTGCAGATCGATTGGTCCTAGGTTCAAGAGATGAGGTACTTCACACCTTCAGCTGCGGTCACGTTATACAAATGACAATCGATTCGGTTCGAAGAGTCGGGCAACGCCCCTATGGCAGCAGTTGCTTTTGATTGGCTGCCAAATTCCTGGTCGGTAGTTAATTGGTGTAATTTGAATGAGTGTTAACTAAAAGCTAGAGATGCACAGACAAACACGGTAATATAATTTTACTTTAGAATAAAACATTACAAAAACTTTATCTTCGTGTTACTGTGATATAAAAAACGAGTAATAAAAAACATTTTGTAAATTTAAAATGATGTAGGAATCGCAGTGCCAAAACGAATACAAACAAGAATATAGGAATGATATAGCTATACATATATCATTCCTACATGACTTTTATTATTAAAGATTAATGTTACACTGTAAAATGCACGAATACAAAATGGTTACAAGGTCGGTCGATTTGACCAACGAAAGTCTGTAATAACCTGTGATAATCAAGACATGTTTGACTGAACTTGATTTTCCTTGTATGTAAGTCCTAGGCTCTTGGTTACACTACGTTGATGCCTACCCTGACATGACCATGATATTATGATAAACATACTACATACGAACAGTCGGGATTATACAACATCCAACTACACTAATATTAAAGCCAAGTATACATTTTACAGTGTAACATTAAATTTTAATATTGAAAGTCATGTAGGGATGATCTATGTATAACTGTATCATCCCTATATTTTTTCCATTGTTTTGGCACTGTCATCCCAACATCATTTTACATTTACAAAATGTTTTTATTAGTTGTTTTGTGATGTTCTTCCCCTAATTGAAATTTAGTATATTCTATGAATCTGTGTAATAAAATTTAATATTATTGTATTGATTTTTTAACTCGTTCACTTCACACATAATATAGGGATTGGCTCCCTGAAGACACCGATTGTATAGTGTACAAAACATTGAGTATCTACATGTTTAGTCATTTAATGTTAAATCTATTATTGGTTGGTAATTCGTGTTTCACTCTGTACTTAAGCTTTTTCAAGGAACACCAGATTTCTGTAAGAAAAGCTAACTTCAAGGGATAATGATAACATCGTTTACATTATAATTATGATTTTTGAACAAATTACTACTAGCTATTACGACTAAGCAATTACATCGTGCACTGCCCAGAAAACAATAGAGTGGACTTAGGTTTAAATTGACGTTAATGATAAAGTAGTTGTGAAGTTATCTCGACTGAAATAATAATAATAAAGATGAACAATTTGGTGGGTTGTCACTTTCTCGTTTAGTATCTTAGCGATGATTTTTTTCCTTGTTTTCTGCCTTGTTGGGTAGAGAAACAAATGAAAGTGAATGGCAATAATCTTTTAAAGTAAAACTCTCTGTGACTGTTGATTTTTAGTACCTTGGCCATTCCTACATGTACAGTCTACCGACTCTATTATTAATGGCTATTGTGAGAAAAAGCCAGTAAGTAACATTCGCTGCCACAAGCAATTTGCTGGCATTGAGCCAAATAGCGAGATTGACTGTCATCTTTTACTGTACACAGAGCTGGAAACACCCAGTGTGTTTAGCGACACCGTGCCGCGAGCATTAGACCTTCCATCCGAAGCCTGTCATGCTAATCGCTAAGCCACGTCCTGTTCAATTGTGTAATTTGAAAATTTTAAAGTTTTACATATATTGTGAAAAGGTGCAGAGGGCTGAAGGTACTTAATAAGTGTAATAACTGTTTATTCATAATTATATACAGTTATAAATGCTGCTTGTTAGACTATATTGAATGTATACACGCTTTATGTTTCAACACCAATACTATAACATAAGACTCTCAGAGTTACGAGCTTTGAGGTAACAAAACACTTTGAGCATACCTCTACAAGTTCAATCATGGTCTTGTAGGGTGTTTAGTGTTAGCACAATACTATAACATAAGACTCTCAGAGTTACGAGCTTTAAGGTAGCAAAACACTTGGAGCATACCTCTACAAGTTCAATTATGGTCTTGTAGGGTGTTTAGTGTTTGATTACGTAAACACATGTTGCAGCATAAATGTAGAATTACTAGCTGAAAAAATCTTACGTATAAAAAATTCTGGTAGTTCAGCTGGATTAGCATGGTTTTCTTATCTTGAATAACTTAAATTCACATTAGTAAAACCGTTGTTGTTTCTGATAGTTCAGCACGCTCTTTCAGCTAAATCCACATCAATAAAACTGTTGCTGTTTCTGATAGTTTTGCACGCTCTATCAATTAATTTCACATCAATAAAACTGTTGTTTCTGATAGTTTTGCACGCTCTATCAATGAATTTCACATCAATAAAACTGTTGTTTCTGATAGTTTTGCACGCTATTTAAATTAATTTCACATCAATAAAATTGTTGTTTCTGATAGTTTTACACGCTCTATCAATGAATTTCACATCAATAAAACTGTTGTTTCTGATACTTTTGCACGCTCTATTAATTAATTTCACATCAATAAAACTGTTGTTTCTGACAGTTTTGCACGCTCTATCAATGAATTTCACATCAATAAAACTAATGTTGTTGTTGTTAGTTTTGCACGCTCTATCAATGAATTTCACATCAATAAAACTGTTGTTTCTGATAGTTTCGCACGCTCAGTATGAGCGATAATTTTGGGTTAATAAAACTAAACCGTCGAAGTAAGATATTTAATTCAAGTAAATTTAAAATTAATTGTAGAGTAGTTTATATCAACACGTTTAACGCATTATACAAACTTTAAAAAGATGAACAATAACGTAAAACTTTTATAAGTTTCGTATTATAAACAAATCATTCTAGGATGTATAAGCTCAGTATTAGAACATCCTCTTTATTAACATTCTCTTTATTAACATTCTCTTTATTAACATCCTCTTTGTTAACATCCTCTTTATTAACATTCTCTTTATTAACATTCTCTTTGTTAACATCCTCTTTGTTAACATCCTCTTTGTTAACATTTCTTTATTAACATCCTCTTTATTAACATTCTCTTTATTAACATCCTCTTTATTAACATTCTCTTCATTAACATTCTCTTTATTAACATCCTCTTCATTAACATCCTCTTTATTAACATCCTCTTTGTTGACATCCTCTTTATTAACATCCTCTTTGTTAACAACTTCTTTATTAACATTTCTTTATTAGCATTCACTTCATTTCCACATGCATCACATACCCAATTTTTCTGATATTGATTGTATCAATCAAGTTTATTGCGAACTTGTTTATAGTTTAAATGTGTCTTACATGATGCAAATCTTATTACAGAACAGTCAACAAAACAAAATTTCACCTTTAGGTATTGTAATGTTATGGCGACTTTACAGCGTCATAAACGCAGTCTCTTTCCACGACCTGAATGCGTCAATAAATATAACTGCAGTTACAAAGTATCGTGAAAATCACATAAAATTTTCGTCTGAACTATTTAAAATAATTGTTTAAAACAACACTGAATTAATAAAACATTATCATAAAACATCATTGACCTCAATAGGTAAAAATTGTTTTCGATGAAAATACATTATGACACACATACACACATACATTGGCTAACATAACACTTTTTAAAGATGAAATAAATATACAAAGTTTGGATGGAAACAACGATTCAGCAAGTTGCTTGTACAAGTATTTTACTACACTGTTATATTTGAGTTTTAGCAGGTTATCATTGAGCATCAGATTAGTCAGTTTCTAACAGAAATTTGTATATGCTATTCAATATTTTCAAAAACACTAACAGGAGGCTCTAAGAAATTATATTAAGATTTAATTGTGATCGATCATTGAATTGCATTTAACTATTTAATCAGTTGTTTATCTAAGTATTTTAATACCCTGTACGTTGGAAATTAAGCAGGTACCAGATTAGCTAGTTTCTAACAGGATCTAGTATCAGATTAGCTCATTTCTGACAGAAAATTGTATCATATCAACTAATTTCTGATAGGACCTGGTATCAGGTTAGCTAATTTCTGATAGAACCTGGTATTATATCATCTAATTTCTGATAGGACCTGGTATCAGGTTAGCTAATTTCTGATAGGACCTGGTATCAGGTTAGCTAATTTCTGATAGGACCTGGCATCAGATTAGCTAATTTCCGAGATGATTTTGACAAGCAGAGTATATTGACTTATACAGTCCAAACATTCGATGTGCCTCAAATATATCACCATTTTGTTCAATAAAATGAATTTATTACGACACTTTCTCGTACAAATTTCAAATTTTATAATAGAACAGGACAATTATTTATTTGTAGTCTGCTATAAAACCTTTCACATTCTAGTTAAGATTGGCTGGAAAGCTAAAAAGCCTCAAAATTTTGTTCGCTAGGAAAAAGTACAAGAGTGTGCGTATAATATACAAAATCTGCATAAAACCAGATAATTTATCCAAACTCTAGCAGAAACATTTCTATCAACATACAATAAGTTTTGAAAAATCAAACAAGCATTATCTTGTAATTCTATAAAACTACATTATATTGCAATTGTATAAAACTACGTTATATTGTAATTGTATAAAACTACGTTATATTGTAATTCTATATATCCTTTGCATTACAAAAATCACTAAAGTAAGCTCATTTCAATAAGCAAAACTGTACACCATGGATTCAATAATAAATCCCAAGTATGATGAAACTTTATTATAAAGCTGCTACTAATTTCAGCACCACTTTCGTGGTTACAGTTACAACAACAACAAAGCGTCGAAATAGTCCTTTTATTTGACATTACAGTGCGTATCGTGTTTCAAAATTACACTGTTACAGAAGAGTCCACCATTTCTGATTATTAAGTACGAGATACTAATTAATAGTCTATTCTAATTAACTAAAGTTCAACTGAGAAGTTGGTATCTTTTATCTCCCCATAAATTTTTGATCATAAGTTATTGGTAATAAATAATTTTGTAAACAAATGTAGCACTTTGTAAAAAGTGTATAAAAACTAGTTGGAAACCGAATGTGGATTAATTTTCGTATTGAGCTTTTCTGAATATTTTGATTGACTTTTTGTTATTAATTTGACTATCAACATATCAAGGTAATAGTAGAACAAATTACAGAATTAAGTAAGCAAAATGTTGTTGAGAATTCGTATTTTGATGAAATATAATGAGAACATTACTTAAATTTGTATTTCAACAAACCTTTTATTCGATTTTTACTGATTCTAATTTCGATGTTTGTTTGTTAGAGATTTTTCAATATCAGCAAATTTCGAGGTCATAATTTTCATATGATGAATTATGTCTCCGACTGAATGTTCCAGAGTCGACAGCCTGTTCTCAACTTCTTCCAAAACTGAAAGCTTCTGATCCATCTTGGCCATATTCACTTTAACGTCCGCAAGGAAGTTTGACTTCTTGTTAAAGCCTCCCATTCTAAGAGTTTGACGGACAAGATCCCACCGAGATGTATAAGTCTTTGTTTGATCAGTTGTTGATGTTTCGTCGTCAGGTAGCGCCCCAATCGCAGTCTCAGAAGACATAGACGGATGCACTATTCCAAGTAGAATGGCATGTTTGGTTTCATTAACTGAATTTTGTATGTCGTCAATTCTGTGGGGAAAAATATATTATATATTTTAAGTGAACTACATCTAAATTAGTAAAGATGCTCACTGGACGCAAAAACATTCTCGCTTTTAATTTTCAGACACTGAACTCTGTTCCAATTTTGGTATTTGGATATACTGTAGACTGTACCTCTGACTTTCTTTTACCTATTTCAACCAAAAAAAAAGCCAATGAGCATGTAAAAAGAAAAGTTTGAACTACCATTTGGATATAATCTACTGAATCCATCACCTTATACATATCCACTGTTCATGATTTAAAACGCCAATAACCTGGCCATAATTTACAGTAATCCTATATTCGGGTATTGAATTGGCAAGACTTCCAGTTGTTCAGCAGTAAGTCTGGAGGCTTATAACGTTGAAAACCGAGTTTCGTTACTTATGGGGACATATAAATAGCCCATTGTGTGGCTTTGTGCTTAATAACAAACGAACTGGCAAAATGTAAGAAGTAAGGGACAGGAATCGGTTCTAGGAAAAAAATGTGGCCTGAGCGAACTTTGTATTCGGCGCCCCTGCCCCTGTAAAATTAACAAAAATTGCTAATTGCAATGTCTATTTTAGTTCTATCCCTTGGGGTGGGGCACTCTGTGTTGGATCACTCCAAGGACCGGCCCTGATGGTGACAGTATACTTAAAGGCAGTACAAGAAAATGATTTCAATCGAAAAACAATCATGTGATTAATGTTTCGGCCAAGTGACCTTCATTAGAACATGAATAAAGAAGGCTTAGTAAATACAGAATGTATAGAAATGTGTCAGTGTTGGAGTTATTTCAGAGAAATAAAATTAGTTCAAGAAATTCGCATTGGTAAATAGTTTTCAAGAAGGTTTGTTTATTTGTCTGCTTGTTATTAAGCATAAACTTACACAATGGGCTACCTGTACTGTTCCACCACTGGTACCGAAACCCGATTTTTAGCATTATAAGCCTTCATACTTACCGCTTAGCCACTGGGGGGGGGGGGGGGGGGGGCTTGAAGAAGGACAGGGACACCACAACACGTGTTTCAACATCACCCCAAATAAATATATATGGATTCAAACATCTTTTTTCTTAATTTATTAAATATAGCTTAAAAAAACCAATTCGATTTTATTACTCATCACGTTCGCTACATACCTACCCTCAACTGTAATTGTATGTCCAAAGTAGCGCATCTACCGCTTTAAATATATATGGGTGGAAGAATTATAAAAAGACAAACTTGCTTGTCGCGGCAGAAAGCGGTGTCGTTTCGTGTCGATCGATACCGCAACGGTCGAGATATCTCGGCGTGACAGACGGACGAATTTTCGTCTTTATATAATAGATTAAATTGAACTCTTATGACCGAGAAAAAGCATGCTATGTAATTTCAACATTAACAAATATACATAATCATAAATATATTTATTTCACTTACTTTTTTTGACACTTGAGAATCAAATTTTCTACCACCGTTTCTTCCGAACTTCTGCCTTTTAAAAATTTCGCTTTCCCTTCTTTCTCGAAGAAACTTTGATGTTCTGCATAAGTATTCATAATACTTGAGTGATACCCTGTCCAAGATTTCAAAATAACCATAAGACAAATAATAGGACAATGGTATCGTAAAATATCACAATAGAAAAATGTAGACACTAAGAGTGTTCCATATGATAAAACAAATGTTTTGAATTTCGCACAAAGCCGTCCCTAATTTAGCAGTGAAAAACTAGAGGGAAGGCAGTTAGTCATCACCAACTATTGGGCTACTCTTTTACCAATGAATAGTAGGATTGACCGTCACATTATAACACCCCCACGGCTGAAAAGGCGAGCATGTTTGGTGTGACGGAAATTCGAACCCGCGACCCCCAGATTATGAGTCGAACGTCCTAACCACCTGGTCATGCCGGGCCTAAATTAGTACAGTATAACAAAGTGGATAAACCGTGCTCGTGATAAGACAAATGTTTCTCAAATTAGCACAGTATAACAAAGTGGATAAATCGTGCTTGTAAGACAAATGTTTCTCAGATTAACACAGTACAACAATATGGACTAACTCTACTCCTTATTATAAAACAAACGTTTCTCAGTTTGCTCCTTATGATAGTTATTGTAGTTTCATGTAAACCTTTTTCATTAATTTCGATGTGTTACTTACAAATTTCTTAGACAGTACAATCTAAAGAGCATTTCGAAAACAACAACAATTAACAACAGTAACTTATAGACAGTAACTTGAAATATTTTAAAACTTTGTTTGATTAAAACAAATCATTCCTACATTCCTCAGGTAAATTTGAGCTGTTATAAATCCTATAATTGATTTATCGAACTTTATATTCATGGATGGAGCAAAATAGCTTAAAAAAGTTCTTCCTCTGTTTTTGACCACTGTTAATATCTAATATATGTTAATATCTAATCCTCACCGAAGTATTGAGTAGTTTAACGATGCGTAAACAAGGATTGAGAAACACACACACACACATATATATATATATATATATATAACTTAATTAAAAGGTACTTGAATGAAGCAGAAAATTTAATTTTGAAACACGACAATACATTCCAAATGTATGAAGGTTTCTTCCAAAATACATGTCATCAAACATTCATAGGTTTACACACAGATTGACTGTGTGTTTGATATTAATGTAGGTGACAATATATACTTTGATGACTGTATCCGGGAATTAACACACAAACACACACACACACATATATATATATATATATATACTTATATTTAGTTATTTGACATACAAACGTCTTTTAATCCCTTGCTGCAGTAGCGACTCCTGATCTTGTTACACAACCAGCTAATTACTAAGTAAGTATGTTCCAGAATAACGAAAGGAGGAAGCAGTGTCGGTTTCCTCGTGTACTCCGCCACGATTAAAGCCATCTCGTACCTCCAAATTTCCTGAGAATGTTTGTTGACTTCCTCAAACACGTGACTGAAAAAATAAAAGAAAGTGATTAGATTCAATGTTTTAATTAAAACTTAAGACGTAGAAAGATGCTATTATTTGTATGATTAATATTTCTCAGATAGCGCATATATGTATAAATATATATATATATGTTTAACTTTCTTTGTCGTTAAGCACAAAGGTGTACAAGAGACTATCATTACTTTGCCCGCTGGAGGTATCGAGCCCCAAATTTTAGCAATATATGCCTTCACACTTACCGCTCAGCCACGGGGGGGGGGTATTCTATTTTTGTTATATTACATAGCTTACTTTATATGAATCAAATACATATATATATATATGTGTGTATACGTCCTTCTAAAGATATAACAAATCTTCAATATTATGCCTCTTCTCGTTGTTTCACTAGTTTAATTAACACAAATTACAATATTATGCCTCTTCTAGTTTAGTTAATTTATTTCATTATTCAACAAATCAGATCAAATCACTTTGATTGTTTTATTGTTATTAGTTGTCTAAACGGAGTACTTAATAACATCGTTAATACTGTCAGAACAAGATTTTGGTTTCCATGAGACATTAAAGAATGTTCTGATACAGTTATTCGGCGCAAGGCAAACATGATCTGGAGTAACCGAAATGTTACAGTTAGTATTAAGTTAGTTTCGGCTGTAACTTGTAGATTACATTTAACCACGAACTAAAACCTTGGCATAAGTTACACGTTCGCATAAAAAGTATGATAGAACGTGAAACTGAGAAGAAAAGTACAGTGGTAAGGGGAAATATTTTCATTACTGGATACGATGATTAGGTTCTACATACTACAGCAATTAAGATATTATTTTCCTTGACGTTTATTCTCCACCTGCTTTCTTTGCCTCCTCAAAGAAAACCCATGTCATGTATTTTTTCCTTTCCGTGAGCAATGTTTTATAAACCATGTATCTTAATTTTACAGTTTCCAATCTATGTTTAAGCAGACCAAAGAGATAAAAGTCTATTGAAACTGCATAGAAAGGCTAAACAGTTATGTAGTTCAACTGGATTTTAAGTGATTTCCTTTTACTTGCTCATCTTTATCATCAAACAATCATTGATTTCGAATTATGTTTGAAAACTTGTAAACTTTTCGCTTGTGAGCTTCGTCAACTTTATAACTTTACTTATTATCTTGTTAACGGTATCGAGAAATATTCCCAACTTCATAAAAATAAGTTTTTCGGGGTTGGAGGATTCTTTTTCGTACTCATAACCTTGACTTGGTGGATGAGGTGGTTGGTCCTGACTGCCCGTTGCTAGATTTATATCTTTACTTATTATCAGCACTTATTAACAGCATCGAGAGATATTCCCAACTTCTTAAAAATATGTTGTTGTTTTTGGATTGGAGGATTCTTTTTCATACTTATAACCTTAACTTGAAGAATGAGGGGGCTAGTCCTGATTGCCCTTTACTAGATTTCCTAAATATTCTGCTCTTCCAGTTTCCCTGCTTCCACGGAGAGCTCTGAAGACCGCCTTCTTAGAATTGCTGTGTCCTTTAATTTTCCCATCGTGGAATAATCTCAGTATGTGAATGTTTCTATTCTAAGTAGTCACGTATTACTACTCCCATCATTCAAGTTTGGATGAATTTCACAAACTCGTTTAAAGAAATTTAAGCCTCTTTATTACGTGCCCGTAGTTTAAAAACCATTCTGAGATTTTCGGGAAAATTTTCAGCAATTTACACGTAGTTATCTGTAGAGCAAAAGCTGTTAATTAATTAGTGACCTTAAAATTACAAGATGTGACTTATATGTCTGTACGCTTACGTTAAAAGGGGATGTCCACGATTTTTCTCCTGAAATATCATCAAAGCATTTAACACTTAATAGCATATCAGTTGGGTTTGGAGTTTTGTGAGGGAATTATATTTCACCTTTGGTTTTTGAGATTTCACTAGAATTTCTTCACTTAAATCTTAACCGAAGTGTCATTTCTTTAATGAATTCCAAAACAAAAACAAAAAAAGGACTCATTCGACGATCTTTTTTAACTACTATAGCAAACAAGTGTTTGCTTGTGCTTTTCAAAGAGGCTCTACCTCATAATGAGGGGCATTCTGACCAATTAAAATTACTCATAAAATTCTTGCACTTCTTCTTAAGACTACCAAAGGCATCAGGACAAATACATTATATGGAACGTTATGTAGAGTTCTTTCTTTTAACTGTTCTCTGTCTTTACAAATATCCAATCACAAGCGCGTGTGAAGATAATCAGTTGGTCAGTGTGCGATTAAAGAAGATTAGATCATCAACTGAAAACATGCATGATGGAAGTGTAAGGTTTATCATCTCAGCTCTTTAGGTTCCATTCTGATGTCAATTTGAGTTGTTCTAATGTTATTTCAATAAGATTACAACATATTTTTATTTGATTTGTTACAGTTTTGATGAATGTCAAAGACGACTGAAAGTAGGATTTGCACTCATTCGGGAGAGCGGGGGGGGGGTCAAAAGTTACTGTAGTTGGTACAATGGGTATTATACGGTTGGTACTAAAGAAAATATTACGAATATATATAATTGATACTTGTTTTTCCTCAATTCTTTATTACAAATACAATTGAGGCCAATCTAATCATTCTTTGTTCCCGAGTAAGACGTCAGAAATTAAACTATTTCTAAATGAAACAACTGTATAGCCACTTTTGCCCCTCCCTGTAAATCATAATAATTGTTTAACCTACCTGAAGACTGCAATAAGTAGATTGACTAGAAGTACGTTGCCTAGCAACATGTATACGCCCAACATAACTGGAACCAACCATGCGTGAGGGCTGTCGCTACAATCGCTTTTCTCACGTGAGCAATCATAGTAGAAATCTTCGAATAAAGTACGAATAGTAATTAATACTGTTCAGGCTCTAATATAAATATCTTAGAACACAGATAGCAATGACTGATGCGTTGGATAGTTTTTGTACAGAAATAGAATCGTATCAGCTTCATTAACAAGTCTCACAAAACATATTTTGGTAAATCGGTTAATTTTTGGTAAATCGATTATTCATTTTTGTTTAAAAGTAGAAAAAAATAAAGTAATAGAGACATAGCATTCTCAGGTATGTCTGGATTGTTTTACATGAAACTAATTAACTAAGTTAATCTTCCCAGTCGTTGGGATTATTTTATTAATTAATACAACAATACATTTAAAAACTGTTTTAAAATTTCCTACCACGATCACTGAGAAAGCTGTATTTCCTTGTTTGTATTTCAGCTGAGGTGATAATGCTTTTGAAAATTATTTTAGCTATAAAACAGTTGTTTCTTGGGATTCAGTTAGATTACCAACAAATAATAGTGTATCTTTACGCTGCAAAAATATTAAAAACAACTGTATCTTTGGGACTAGTCAAATGATGCCATCATAAAAGGTAATTATACTTTAAAGACAATCTAAAATATTTCATGATTAAGAACAACCCGATATCCTAGCTTGTTTATATAATGTTATTACTGAAGGCTACTGTATCGTCAGGACAATTTAGAATATTTCATGATGAAGAGCAACCTACTTTGTTTACATAATGTTACTAAAGATTACTGTATCTTCAGGACAATCTAGAATATTTCATGATCAAGAGCAACCTAGTTTGTTTACATAATGTTACTGAAGATTGCTGTATCTTCAGGACAATTTAGAAAATTTTAATACAGATAGCAACCCATTCTCCAATCTTGTATAAATTATGGTTTCACTAAAAAACTCCTATACCTTCAAGCCTATCCAGGTTCAGTTCTCCGTACAGTTGCCAGTAGGGTAAATAGAAGACTTCCCTAAATATTCCCAGAAAAGGTTGACGATTTCTTTTAAGAAGAGCTTGACTAGCTACCCCGTAGCTCAGAATGAAGATTAGCAGGATGAGAAGAAACAAGACGACTTCCACAAGCTGTAATAATTAGAAAAATAAAAGAAGAAGGGATAAAACTAAATTACTATTTTAAAGACATTTTATCATTTGACATCTAGATATATTTTGGTGCTGCACGAATCATGAGTTTTTTCGAAGTTAGGTTTTAAAACAATGTAATAATTGACTACCCATGGTTGATCTAGATGGGCCTATTTGTATAATATTATATTATTTTGTATTATATTGTATAATATAATATTCCATAGTAGATTTCACAATGTGATCGTAAGAATTACAAACATTCATAAAATACATGTGTATTTGAGAAAAATTCAGAGCTAGTCTCTTTCACTTTCTGTTCTACTATCATACTGCTGTATTTGAATATAGTAATACTACACACCTGATTAAAAAACAGATGTTTGTTATGATTAAAAGACAAGTGCCGCCACAATGGCACCCTGAGATTTCGTTCTTGTATAAAACGAGTGTCATTTGATCTGACATCCATATTTTAGCTGTATAGTAAAGTGAAAGAAATATAGTGTGTTTCCAGTGAGTAGCCTAAACAACAGCAGAATGGTCAACAAGTTCTGGACTGAGAGTAAATCATGCCAGGACTACAACCAAGACATTTAGACGTTTCCATATTGCTTGAGTGCAATAGGTTGGTTAAAACTGACGAAACGTAAAAATCATTGTAGATAGGCAACAAGTTTCACAGTTAGCTGGATATGGAATTGTTTTCAGACCACCAGTTCTTCTCAGACCTGGATAGAGTGTACTATTGAGAACATCTCATCAAACCTACAGATGTGTGACAATTTGGGCTGGAAGCATATGGTCAGAAACAGGTGCCATAAGGGTTGACATTTATGCCAGATGACAAACGGTGTGATTCTTCTATCTCTTTGCCACAATACAGTCCGTATTTAGTAGTGCAAAGAACACGTGGATTGGTCAAAGGACATGCTGTCGAATTTCTTCCTCACATGTGAATCACGCTACACATTGCAGCCGGATACGAGGAAACTTGGACACATCTGAAGAGTGCCCATAAACAGATACAACTTTAATTTCACGGAAGAAAGACACGCAATGGTGGTATACTGGTTTGTACATGGATCTGTACTGGTGATCACATTGACTCTTATGTGCTACAATATGGCGCTATGAATGTCATACGATATAGTGATGCAATCTTAGAACTATTAGTGTTACATATGCAGGTTTAGTTCGTCAGTCAGTATTCTCTTTTAATGGATGATGACATATATTCTCACTATGTTCAACTGTTCATCATGATATTGTTAAATCGTTTAACATTACTATACAGAAAGTTTCCTCTGTGTAATGGAAGAAAAACCTGGTGAGAGAAAAATGAACTATATAACACAAATAGTTGATGATCGATTATTTTATTAGTTCACACTTACCACTTTTTTCAAAAAGAATCTGGCGCAAGCAAATAAATTCAACTACCAATATATAAGAAACGTTTTCCTTAAGAACATCACTGAAATAACACGAACTTTATAATATAGATCAATGTGTTGTTTCTTAATTAAAAGTGGATAATATACGGACAACAATGAAGTAACATGAATTTTATTATATGAATCAAAATGTCGTGTCTTAACTAAAACTAGTAAAAGTGGATAACATTACATTCATATTTAGGCCTACGAAATAAAATATAGCTATATGCTTCCAAACTATTTTACTTGTTAATTTTGTTTAGAAATAACATTATTAACAATTAAAAGAACTAATACCACAATTCAAATCATTAAGCTTAAGAAACCATCTATCACGTTAAAAATTATTTTTTTTTATTTTCTGTATTCTACACTACGGAACTTATTGAATGAGCTTACCATACGCTTTATGATAACCAGCTTTGGTCCTAGATGAAAACTGACCATGTAACACTTGAACAGACGGATATAGAATAAGGCACAACTGATGGTCATCACCAGGTGAACATCGTCTACCTGAAGCAAGAAATAATGACTACCAATCACTTGCTGTGTGGTTCTTAGCAAGACTCCAACAAGAGACAAGACTATACAAGCAGCGTCCACTTTATTCCAAAAGTATTCTTGAAACCAGTCTCTGAGTTTGTGTAACTTCCGTTCCGAAGGGTAGGTCACGATCTGTTAGGGGGGAAATGTTAAAAAATATGTAGAAAAGAAAATAATACCGATCTCCGTAATAGGTCTCGGAAATAAAGTGAAAACAATAAAGGCTGTAATAAAGTTTACAGAAAATCCAGTAAACAATCTGAAAGCTCATGAGACTAAATAATTTGCAGAATGCTCAGAAAATACGTTGAAATGAAGTGAGATAGGATCAAAGTTTCTCAGAAAGTCCAGCAAATACGTTGAAAATATGAGATGCGATAAAGCATAAGTATGCAAAAACAAAGTCTAGTATAAATAGTCTGAATAGTCATAATACAGTACCAAAGTTTAAAGAAAGTTCAGAAAAATACGTTAAGGTTGGTTGGTAGTTAAGCACAAAGGTACACAATGGGCTATCTGTGCTCTGCCCACCACGGGTATCGAAACCCGGTTTCTAGCGTTGTAAGTCCACAAACATACTGCTGTGCCACTGGTGGGTAATACGTTAAGAATATGTGAGAAAGCATCAGTTTGCAAAAGCAAAATTCAGTGTAAGTAGTATAATATATACGTATGTAGTATATACGCTGAAAATACATGAGATAATGTCAGTATGCTAAAAGTCTGAAAAGGAAGAGAGACAGCAAAGGTTGCAAAAATTCAGTAAAATCACCTGAAGAGACTTTTTTTAAATATATTGTATACAGAAACCATTATTGGCAACCCTATAGCACAGGAACAGTACATTTTGAAAGTAATTCTTCTTATTCAGCAACTTTTTTATTATTGTTATTAACTCATCTCTTCTATTTGTATTCTTCCTAATTTTGTTGGAGATACATTTATTATTGTATGATCATATTTAATAAAAAATAAGATAATTATATCAAATTATGAAACACAAGTCCCGGTTTGCTGTAGTTTTACTTCACAAATAGAGTCAAATCGACTTCTTTAATTATCCCGGTTAAAAACAAATTAGTTATGCATTACCTTACGACTTGTACTAACGATTTAAGTACATTATCTGCACTATTCGTCCCTAATTTTAAAGTAATAGACAATAGGAAAGGCAGCTAGTCAACACCACCCATCGCCAGTTCTTGGGCTACCCTTTACAAACGAAAAGTGGGATTATAACACCTCCAAGGCTGAAAGGGCGAGTATGTTTGCTGAGGAGATTCGAGCCCGCAACCCATAGATTGCGTGTCGAGTGCCCTAAGCGAAGAGATAAATATTTTACACTAACATACTAGAGCTTTGTTCTAATGAAATACCCCAAATTCTCTGTGAAGGATACAGGTGTGAATACATGCAAAGGTTTCATGTCCCCAAACAAGTATATAATTATAAAAAATAACTGAAATGCTTTACGTACCTCTCGTACTTCTTCCAAGACTAAGGTGAGAGCCCACACGTGTAATACCAACTCAAAGAATCCAGCAGTCTCGTGGAATTCAAACAAAATCACGTAGGAAAAAAGAGCTAGGAAGCCAATGTAGGAATACTGCAAAATATTCACGGAACTCTGAGACTGAAGTCTTTAATATAAAAAAATATAAAAACAACACTGATCCAAGCAACACTTTTATCAATAAATTATTTAGAATTTAAAGTGTTTGTATGTTGAAGTTACGTTTCTAAGCTTACCAAATAGTAGAAAAATTTTGTTATCGGTGCTGTATAGAAAATCCGAGCTTTAGCGAAAAATCCAGGGGGCTTCTTTGTAGTTTTCTCGTTCCAGAACTTCAAGTAAGTCCAAATCAAAAATGGGTTGAAAAGGGCTAAATTTACCTAAAAGTAAACTGATTTTTGTAAATTACAACATGGAAAATTAATTGTCTACTTACAACTTGAAAAAAAATAATGTAACACTGACTACAGGCCTAACATCTGAAACTTGTTTACTTCAAAGAAAGATAAATATTTTACACTAAGGATGCGAAACGTTAGAACAAAAATTTACAGCACAGTTATACATACGTTTACACACACATATACATACAGACGACTGATAGCAATGTTTGAGAACGATTTGTTTATGCTGAAGTTGGGACAATTTTTTTTCCAACAACAGTACGGACATTCGTAAGGCGATATTCATAGACAATGAAAAGCCAAAGAGCACGATATCTTAATATTCACCAAAAGCGGGTAAATTCACACAGATGAATGCTTCGGAAAGCAACGAGCTCTGAAATCACACTACTAGCTAATTAGGATTAGCGCCCTTATTTACAGAATGAAGGCTATGTTTATATAAGAAAACCTTCCGACCTAAAAATGCCGTCACATTGTCTCGCGGTACAGTGAATAAGATAGCAAACTAAATGATGAAATTAACAAAAGATCCCCAGCTTCTAGCCACACCTCCAAATCGAAAACTATTATCACGAGAAAGACACCTAAAAATACTGAAATAGTAGCTATCCTATTTGACCTCACATTTATAGTACATCCATACATCCAATGGATTTTGTGCCTCTGTACTGCTTAAACATAATCTATAAAACCAACATCCATGAGCAGCGAAGAGTCTGTAAAGATGTGTGGTCTAAGATTGTTCGCGATTACCCTTCAGTATATGGAGGAGAGGGATGTTTGTATTGTCTCTAACGTCAAAATATGTTAAAAAATCAGGTTTAAAACTAATTAATTCCCAATGTTCTTTAATTTCTATTTCCATACACCTTAGAAATAGATATTCTACTAGTGAATTAACTCTTCATTAAATCAAAAAAAGAAAAGAGAAATTAGAGAAAACTTGATATACTAATATCATAAGGATGTAGTCACTACAAACTTCATCGTCTTTACATGCTTAGCGTTACATACCTAGCCTTTCTTTCTTCGTTAGTTAAAAAAAAATGCAAATCAAATTGACGTTGTAATCAAAGCCACTTCATCACAACTCTTACAAATATTTCTGTTTTGAAACAATTTTATTCTAGCATTGGTGGTATAGAAATACAAAAATGGCCATTGAATAAAATATGTTTGGAAGAGGTAATAACCGCGAGTTCGATGGATTGTTTTTTGTGTGTGTTCGGTTTTGCTTATAAATTTGTACTTTGTGTTAATAACAACAACTTAAAATAAAAATAATACCTACGTGTATGTGAGACCAATCAGTATTTTTATTTTCATATGATTTGGCCCAAGATACGTTTTACTAATGAGATACAGTAGTGGTAAAAGCATTTTTAATGCAATTTGTTTTCTGTGACTGTTTTACTAATGAGATACAGTAGTGGTAAAAGCATTTTTAATGCAGTTTTTTTTTCTAGTTAACCTTAGATATTTATGTGTACATAAAAAAATGGAACGTTAAATTACAGATTTGTTTTGCCTAAAGCAGACCCCTGGTGGGACAGCGGTAAGATTACGGACTTACAACGCTCAAATCCGGGATTCGATTCTCCACGGTAAACACAGCAGGTAGCCTAATATGACTTTGTTCTAAAACAATTGCCTAAAACAACCTGTAAACATTAATAAATAAACAAATGAAAAACGGTTCGAAATAATTGTTTGTTTGTAATTAAGCACAAAGCTACACAATGGGCTATATGTGCTCTGCCCACCACGGCTATCGAAACTCGGATTCTAGCGTTGTAAGTCCGCAGACATATCGCTGTGCCACTGGGGGGCCTTAGAAAGAAACAACCACAGAAAACTAAAATCCATAAACACTACCTTTACAGAGGAAGAAGTAGCAAGGCCCCCAGACCAAGCCTGGCTGATCGATTGTTGACAGCATGGTGTTGAAATGAATTCCTATTACAAACACACAAAAAGAGAGAACTTTTTTTAATTTCCTAAAATAGTCAGTTGATATTTTAAGTAAATTTATAGTAACAAGACTTAGATGTGTAACTCTTGAATGTAAAAGTTAAATGTCTTCATTTTACGTTACTATTAACAAGCACTGAATAACATAAAATACTTCGGATGTTTGCTTAATTTAAGTGCTCTTTTATGTATCATACACTTATGCTTCATTGGAAATCTCAACAGATTAGACCTGACTTAAATAATTTACTTGAATTACACATGTAGGTACTTTATCGATTTCTAATCATATGAAACTTACAAGGTCGTTAGCAGAGAGAGCAATATCCAGGGCGCTCATGCCCCCCCAGTAGGTACTTGATGTTTCAATTAGTTCTACTGCCTTATCCCTGTCCATGGAGTAGCATTGGTTGATGTGCTGAATCGCTATTTGTTCAAAAGTCTAAAGAAAGTTTCTATTAATATAAAGCCACAATTTTTTAATTATTTGCACTATGATCTTGATGATACACATAATAATTTGTAGAATTTGTCAAACAACTCAGTCTGATGGTAACTTTGATGTACTTTCAGCCAAACTTGAGCTCTGGCTCAGTTCAATAATCATATCTCTTAAGTAAATGCACTTTCCACAAAAAAACCTTCATAACTTTTCTTGATTCGATTTTCTCTTACGGATCCTAATGTACAACTATAAGTATCATCTAAGGTGTGAATACTTACTGAATCACTTTTTACTTTAATAATAAAATTTTATAAAATAACTTTAATTTACGATCAAGAAAAAACTAATAAAATCCCGTTTTGTGATCCATGTTTTAACATGATTGACTTGAAGATCACGAAAAAACAAACTGTAGAATCCCCTTTTTTGCAGTATTTTTAGTTTTAACACGACTGAACTTAAGGTCAAGAAAAAATAGTAGAATCCAGTTTTGCGGTAAGTCATGTCTTTACATAATTTACGTTTTTCTAAATCGTTTAATAGCATTGCTGTAAGTACACCCATTGAACTGATTTGGTACTTCATCCACAATAAAACAACATGATCATTCTTCTAAAAGGATTTGTCCAATGTGTTTAAGTTAGGCTCTAAGCGAATCTTTATTTACAAATACAGTGCACGATACTTGCTTACCTTTTTAAAACTGAGCAGTTGACTTCGCAATAAATCGTCATGGATACTCATTGCTTTACTAATCTTCCAGTAGATGCAAGTAGCAGCTAAAGCCAGATTCAGAGCATCAACAGCTTCTTTCCACAAGAACACAGCCATTTCTTTCCTGTCATGATAAAGCTAAAAGCTTTTATAATCATCAAAATAGAATAATCTGAAAAACCGATAAATTTGACTCATTTATGAACCAGCGATAACATTCCTTACATTTTAAAAAAAATCAACCAGATTTTGCTATCTTCGTCGAATGTTTTTACGTCAAGCCATTAGTTCAATACGTATTTAACATTTGCTTATGGTTAAAGATTAAACTTTTTAAATATACTTCCTAGAAGCGTTAGTTTTATATATCTTGTTGTAGCATTGTTCTTTTAAATTATCTGGTGAAACTAATTCAACGTCTCCTCCACGTAATAATCCCAAATTGGTTTCTTTCCGTTTTAACGTTTCTACAAATTTGAACACTTGTACGCTGAGGTAACTTTTTATAGGCCGACGTTACAAATGGCGTTCAATCTTCCCTAACAATGCTAGGATTAACGTAAAATCAAGTTATTGTACAAAATATCTCAATAAGCACGATAGCAAACACAGATCCAAATACTTCAAGAAAACGTGCTGACTGATTCAACTCCCTATCTTTAAAAACCTCTACACGCTTCACAGCTATCTCGTATTTGTAACCCATCAAATGCACGAGAAAAACTTGATGTCAATTTAAAACTTTCCAAGCGTTCTAGGCCTGTCTTAACATCAAGCGCCCTTAGCTAACATACAAATTACAAAAATAGTTTACAATAATACTACGTCAATAAAGTTAGAAAAAACTACATTTATTCTTCACATACTAATAAACATTTTTTTTTGCCAACATTTCGCCACTGCGGCTTCATCAGAGCTAGTGGCATAAAAACTCTGATGAATTGCAGTGGTGAAATAAAACGTTTCTTTAATTATGATCTAGAAAGTAAAGGTCTTTCTTTAAAATTATTTCCAAAATATCAAAATCCCTAAATTCTGAAAAACAAATATATAAAGTACAATCTAATATGTATAGTTAGTCCAGATTGCTAAAATTGTTACATAAACGTTTGTTTTTCTTTTATTTTTGTTGTTGTGTTTGTTGTTTGGTTTAGTAAGATCGCTTGATTTCACTGAATACATTTAATATGTGCTACCTTAGATAATACAAAGTTATATTTCTAATTACTTCGTTCTTTGTTTAAATAGTATAAAAACAAACCCAAGAGAAGGCTTAATAGATACGCGACCAGCAAAGTGTTAACAATGACTCAGAAGGTACCTAAGTACAGTATTTTCTTAGGTAATACACAGTTATATTTCTAATTACTTCGTTCTTTGTTTAAATAGTATAAAAACAAACCCAAGAGAAAGCTTAATAGATACGTGACCAGCAAAGTGTTAACAATGGCTCAGAAGGTACCTAAGTGCAGTATTTTCTTAGGTAATACACAGTTATATTTCTAATTACTTCGTTCTTTGTTTAAATAGTATGAAAACAAACCCAAGAGAAGGCTTAGTAGATACGCGACCAGCAAAGCGTTAACAATGGCTCAGAAGGTACCTAAGTACAGTATTTTCTACAATTTATTTATTTTTTCAGAAACCACTGTAACCAACCAGAAAGGTGCTTTGTGGTTGTTTGTTTTTGAGTGGGTCTAAAGATCCAAATCATAATAAGTGTTACAACACGAACCCCAACTATTCTAGAATAACATTTCTTTGTTTACGCTTTCATATGAAAAACTACGTTGATATATACCCAGTGAAATGTTAATAGATTGAAACAGTAAAAATAATATTTTAAATAAATGAGCTTCAAACATATCGTGAATGAAAATAAACAATAGTTATATAGACTGCCAGTAATAATGCATAACCTTCTGCCCCGCACTCAAATTTTAAATAAAAAAAAAGGTTTACACGTTTATAAAAAAATATTAACAGATGCGACAATGAAATGAAACAGAAATTGGGGAGAATTAATTGTCAATTAGTTCTTTCCTTTAGAGTCCTTCAAAATGTTTGAAGTCAACTCAAGTTGCTGAGAGGGAAAATGGTTCAAAACTTGGGTAGATACTTAGCTGATGGATTTCACAGTTTTCCATGAAAAACGCTCTTCGTCTACTACTTAAGTGCCGTCTTTTACTATTTTACAACGCTAGTTATGCATAATAAATCCATAGCGTTATATTCGGGTTCGATCCCTGCAGTAGACACAGCGCAAATACATCAGCGTGAATCTTTTTTCGCTAAAAAAACTTGCACTGAACTTGGCAGATAAATAAAGAAATGTATTATTATAACGATATAGAAATTTAAGTTATTCGATCAAAACAAATTTGTATTGGTTATGATATTTTGCTGAAAAATAACACGATATTTCAAAATTTCGTTTATTTGTTTATTTTGTTAGATTTCGCGCAAAGCTGCGCAGGGGCTATATGCGCTAATCCTCCTAATTTGTGTGTAATAGGTTAGAGGGAAGGCAGCTAGTCAACATCACCCACCGCTAACTCTTGGGCTGCTCTTTTCGGACCGAACTGTGTGATTTGACACTCTCTCTTATAACAAACCAATGGCACCAAGGTGCACAGCACGATTTCCTTTTTTTTGGTAGTAAAGGGATGCAAACCACGAAACCTCAGCTTCGTAGTCGGCTAACCGCTCGGGTTTAAAATTTTGAGCCAATGTGATTTACAAGCTACTTGCCTCTGCAGAAACACTGCCCAAAGAAAAAGTTCACGAAAAGGTTTATCAAAATTTTCAGCTGATCCGATAACATGTGGCAGGTGGTCTACAACTTTAGTTTTGTCGCTGTAATAATACCAGTTGTGCATTCTCATTAGGTGGCGCAGGAGTAGATGAATATCCCATAACATAACGTTGTCAGTAACTGTTGGAGAAACAGACCGAAGAAAAACTAAAAGTCGAGGATGGGAATTCTGAAAAAAAAAGTTTTGATAATTAATACTTTGATAATACATTTCGTAAATAACGTGCATTACAAATAGATTAATGAAGTCAATTAACAACTTTTCACTATTACTATGACATTTTTAATGAAAAGAAAGGTTAAGTACATAATAACTATTAGTCTACCTGGATTATTACTATGAAGATTATTTTGCATGTTATTCCTAGTATATGAATTTAGGACTAACCTAAACCTTCAAAACTGGGCTAACTGGGATTTGGGACGAAAATATCTATAAAAGCAAGAGTACCCAACTGACGAAATAGTACATTTAAATCATTATAAGCTTTTATTTTATGACATTACATACTCCTACTTAGACCTGTATATTAAATTAGTTACGTTTTTACTCATTGAATTTTTAGTTCTGATCAATGTAAATAATTTACTTTGATTAGGAGTTGTTGATAACTAAAATACAAACTCTTTTGGATTTCTCCATTAATATATAGTCTAACAAATAGTAGATACTTGCAAATATGCAAGCGTTGTAGAGATGTCTGAGACGACCAACGGTTAGGTAATCCTTCATCACAACACCATTCAATAACAGAAGCTTGACAAACTCCACCCTGTCCATCACAAGAGCCTCTGTCATGGAGTCCTCCAGACATCCAGGGGGCCAAAAGACTTGACTGGTGAACAATTGACTTGCCAAATCCACTCGGTTCCACTTCAAAGCTAGTTGTAGTTGCTCCCGTCTATGACTACATCCCTTACCTAATATATATTTCAAATCTTAGTACTTTCAAAACGTTTCCTCTAGCTAACTATCGATTAGTAACTTCCTCATTAAGGTTAATCTGTGATTAAGCACTGGTGCCAATAGAAAGACCAGTGTAGTTATATATTGTTATTATTACCAACAAAATTTGCCTCGGATTTTACTTTAAAATAATAATTCAGAAACAGTAGAATCGTTTGTAACTCTCTTAAAGGATTCTCAATGCTTACTGTGTCTCTCAGTGAATAAAGTTAGATAAGAATCGATAGAAACTTAAACAATCATCTGCACTCTGTCCACTGCAGGGAAATGACCTCCCGATATTTGCATTGTAAGTCCATAAACCTACCCCTGACCCACTAGGGGACAAATACAAAAAAAAATTAATAAATTATTTATCGTTTCGATTATTCTAGGTCATTAATTATATTAACTCATAAAACCATAAATGGATTTCAAAAAACGGCTTGGAAGTTTCAGTAGAAACAAAAATATATAAGAAAATGAACTAACTTATTTATTTGTTGAGTGACCCAAAATTTCCTGTGATATCCATGTGAACAAACACTTTAGAGTCTAAGTGCTTTTTAGCTTATTATACTTCTAATGAGACACAAAAAATTTTTTTTAGTCTTTATGGACAATTATTTATACATTTAAGGGCAATCTTCTTACCCATTGTACCAGGCATAGCCTAGTGGTTAGCATACCCGGACAGTGAATCCGACAGTTCGTGGTTTGTGGCCTGTTGCCGCAAAAACACGCTCTGCATTTTGATAGAGTGAGTGTGCTGTAACAGTGACGGTCAAATTTCACTTTTCGTTCAGATAAGAGTAGCCTAAGAACTGGCAGGGGGTGCTGTCGAGTACCTGCCTTCTCAGCTCGAAATGTGGAACTGCTATGGGAAGATAGTACTTTGTATTGCTTTGGGTGAATATTCTGAAACAAACAAACGAAAACATCTTACCTTTCGTTTGGTGGATTTCACGTAAAGGACTACCAATACTAATCGTCCCTAATTTTGAGATGATGGACTAAAGAGACGGCAGCTAGTCCATATTACCCACCGGAAACTTTTAGAATACTTCTGTCAAGCCGAATAGCAGGATTTGACAGTCACATCTGTAACTCACCCATGGCCCCAAAGTGCGGAGTGGGAATTTTTTAGCTATTTCTGGATACGAACAATGAAATCTCAGCTTCAGACATGCTAATTACTAGGCTGCATTCGGCCCTTCTCACCTTTCATTAATGCTACCAAAATTGCTGAGTCAAGTTCTTCATCCGAGTCTATATCGAAAATAGTTATCTAAAAGAAACAATAAAATAAAACTAATTGTTCGTTTCATAATCTATATTTCGATCTGTATTTATGGGTTCATGATAGAATAAGCATTTTAGGAGTAGTATTGTATGTTGTTTTTTTAGGTTTAGTTTTCATAATTAAATTATAAACTTTATGATAAATTTTGTGTACTTGTGTGTGTCATCATCATTTTATAAACTGTGAGGTTTTTCGTTTGTTTTTTTTACTAATGTCCTTTCGTTCTTTTGTATTCATTTATTCTAGAGTCCCATTAAAAAACCTGAAGTTATTTCACTAATTTGTCAGAAAAATTTGCCAGTTTTGAAGATCTATCGACATAATTTTAGTAAATGTACGACGTAAGAAACCGCCGTAACACAATAGATGCTTGCTGGAGTTATGCATTCTGGTGCATTTGATGTTTTGAATTTGAAAAGAACTGTCTTACACAAACAATTTAAAAACTAAGTTTAAATATACAAAGAAATGTGATTAATGCTTACCAGATTTTCGTCTCTGCAACAATTTAATATCAAGGACACTTTTGCTTTCAATTCTTGTTGTTGCAATTGGAAAGTTTTCTCGCAAGCTTCTATTAGCATCTTCTCTATAATAGTCCTGTGAAAGTCACTGACAACACGATCGCCGCTTGATAGACATAAAATCACGAAATAAGCTTTAAATTCCCTCCATTCAATTCAATTGAAAATGACTACAGTAAATGATGGGTTTTACATAAGTCACGTTGGTACTATCAATGTATGAATGTTATCAATTTTTTAAGAAGAATACTGTGCAGCAAATGTCCAGTTTTTCAGACTAATATCATTATACAGAAAAGTCAGCAGTCCAGGTTTGATGTCTTATTACTTCTGTTACGTGGAAAATCTCTAGTTACTGACGAAATCATTTCTAATAACATGCATGTTCGAAGTTCTTTAACTTAAAAAGTAACCAACATGGTTCAAAATATACAAAGCCATGTTTGCTAAGTTTTCAGTTTTTATGCTATATCGTCGTTATTAAAATAGTAATAGCTAAAGTGCTGAAAGTTTTGTTGTTGTTATCATTACTTCTGTCCATTTAAGTCTCACTGATGAAATGGATATTCTAAAGTCAATAACTTCTTGAGCAACATATAGCTGATTACTTTCTATTAATAAACAATATCCGTAAGAGTCCTATTTCTGTGAGATATGTTTATCTACAACTACCTGTAAACTTTGTAACAATTGATCAGACTGTTTTCTATATTTTCTTGTTTATATGTGTCTTGTTACTTAATTTTAAGCTAAAGTTAAAGCACGTGTTAAAAGGCGGAACAACTCTATAGTAATACAATCTTTGTGTTAATAAATAATCCTTAACTAATATTACTCGGATGATTATTCTTTACATGATCCCCCGGTAGGGTAGCGTAAAGTTTAGGAGTTCGATTCCCCGCGGTGGAAACAGCAGATATCCCAATGTTGCTTTGCTCTAAAACAAACAAATCATGTACAGGACTTGTTTCATTTTTAAGTAAACTTGTAATTTCACTAAATGTTTACTTAACCCATGTTACAATTTAGGCGTAGGCAGTTCATAAGTTAATGGGAATTTTACAAGAATTGTGTTTTGATGACCAACTAACCTCTCTTTCATGTGTTTCTTATACTGTATACCAAGAGAGAGATCAACGTCTTCTAAGATTGAATTCACCTATAACGAAGTTACGAATAATTCGTGCTCTTACGATCTGAATTCAATAGCTAACTCACTAGCCACTTCTTTCTCTAGTAAAGCATTTTCCAATCACTCGGATTACCTAGTTACCACTTTCCACACTCTCCCATCGCTCCAATCACTCGGATTACCTAGTTACCACTTTCCACACTCTCCCATCGCTCCAATCACTCGGATTACCTAGTTACCACTTTCCACACTCTCCCATCGCAAAAATATGTTTGCTCTCGAGCCTAAAAAACGAAAGTTGCGTTGTTGTTTATGTTTTGGTGCCATTATCTGTCTATGGTATTTCAGATGCTATCACTGGCACTTGTCTATACAAAAAAAAAACACCTTGGATTTCGATTATTCATTGAACATTGTGACCACAAACACGTTCATTTGCTATTTTTATTCAGCAGTTAATCCTGAAAGGACCTTTTTTAATTCATCAATTGTCAAGCTACATTCTTTATCTTATAAATGAGGCTTATCTTTGAGCTTAACAAATTGAAATTTGTGATTTTTCTTTTCTTTTCTTAATATTATTAATTTAATGCCACCTTTTCTGCAGCTATTCGAGAAGATGTTAACAACAGTACTTTATCTACATTACTACAGCCTGGAAATCGATCACCTGTCCAAAGAAGTGACAAAAAACAAGCACTCCTAAGACAGTAAGTAAAAATACTTTCATTATTTCGCGTTCTGGGTTAACACAAGTACATGTTTAAATGCATATCTTAAATTATTCAGCTACAATGTGTCTTGTGACAGTATAAGATGTCTGTTTCGTATAATATAGATACGTACTTTGCATTTTCGGTGGAACTGTTGTAAGCATAGGCCAGAATATCAGCAGATCGTCCAGTTCCCGCGCAAATTACCACAGGAATCCGACAAGTAATTGCCATATGTACGTGAGAGATAGCATCAAACCCGCCTTCCAAAAGCAATAACACAACAGGAATCCCTAGACCGGGATCTGAAAGAAAAAATAAGTCCTATAAAGAAGTAGATATTTCTCTCAATTAACACAAACAGAAATATGATATTTAAAATTACACACAATCTACTTTACTATCGCAATACAATGTGATTTACAGCTGTGGTTTATGGGTATATTGTTTTTTGATTTGAAATAACTTTACATCTTTCAAAGATGGTAAGTTCGTATAACCATGTGAATAGTCTAGAACTTAGTATTACTACTTTATAGAGACAGCTGTAAATGGAGGCAAATATATATATATATATATATATATATATACATAAAACGACCTAGACAATTTACAAACAAACATAGACAGACATTTACTGACAGAAACAAATAGATAGAGTTGTGTTGTTGTATGTTTGTTGTTAAGCAGAAAGCTGTGCCCATCACGGGTATGAAACCCAGATTTTTAGCGTTGTAAATCCGTAAACTTAACGCTGACCCACTAAGCATATGGAACTACTAAATATTAAACCTATATTTTTTATAAGTAAAGATGTTATTTATTTGGTAAAAAATACCTGCTGTTTCTGTACTGTTTTGTTTTTAAAATATTCATTCTGTGTTTGAAAAAAAACAAAAAACACTAAGATCTTACGCTAATAAAATGAAAACTCTAAAGCGTTCGGTATAATTACAGAAAATAAAAATTATTTTTATTTTCGAGAAAATTTCATAATTTAACCAATGCTTTCCGGTGAGTCAGCAGTCAGTTTACAAAGTTACAACACTAAAATATAGGTTTCAATTTCTCGTGGTGGTTTGTTTGTTTGTAATCATGCACAAAGCTACACAATGGGCTATCTGTTCTCTGCCCACCACGAGTATCGAAACCCGGTTTCTAGCGTTGTAAGAACGCAGACATACCGCTGTGCCCCTGGGGGGCGTCCTGGTGGACAGAGCACAGACGTCCCATTGTAAAGCTTTCTTCTAGAACAAAAAATAACATATATCTGGCCCATAAAGTGGCGCTACGATTCGTAGTAAAGTTTTGTGCTAGAACAATAATATATATATATACCTGGCACATAGAGTGGCGCTGCGATTTGCAGTAAAGCTTTGTGCTAGAACACAAAATGTATATACCTGGCCCATAGAGTGGCGCTGCGATTCGTTGTTCCAGTTCTGTTCGAAAGATTTCAATACCTCGAAAGGTTTGACTGAAGCCGTCGTCAATCAATAAGAAATGGGTGTGATTAGGATTCAAAGCCGCTGGTTTTCCTTGTTTGAAAACTGGATTTACTTTATACATTGCTGTGTAAGGTTCCTACAGAGAAAAATAATTACGAAACTCATTTTATGTGTCATTGAAAATAGAATATTTAAAATATCGTTTAAAAAAGTACAGGATCAAAAACTCCAAAAACGTAAGATAAGCTGAATGATTACCTTCAGTTAAAATGTATTGGAATTTTTACAGACAATGGATAATCCTTAAGCAATATACAAAGACAGAAATCCATATTTGAAGGTTTAAGAAGCGTGAAATTAAATGCTGCCTTTTGTTCCTAGCGTCCCCCGGTGGGACTGCGTTAAGTCTACAGACTTACAACGCTAAAATCCAGGGATCGATTCCCCGCGGTAGACACAGCAGATAGCCCAATGTAGCTTTGCTCTAAAACAAACAAACAAATCTTTCCCAGTACAAAACATTAAGTTCATTAGACATATGCATTATTTAAAGGACTAAGTTTATCACCACAATTCGTCAGATACATACTCATAGGGTAGAATAAAAGCACATTAATAAAAATACAGATAAAAATAATGAAGGTCTGCAAGGCGTTAAATTCCATGGGTTATCTTCCCAGAACACTACCACACTAGTGTTATACATTCCTTAGATTGTACTAAATGTAAAAATAAAAAATGTTAACACGGGATATTTTGGGATGAACTACCCCTAATCGTACAGTTTTTTATGATTACAAACCTACATATATATGTGTGTGTGTGTGTGTGATTTATTTCAGTTGTCATATGTGTTTGTGTGCCTTGGATTCCCATTATTTTATCATGTGTGTTTGTATATCTTGGATTCCCATTATTTTATCATGTGTGTTTGTGTATCTTGGATTCCCATTATTTTATCATGTGTGTTTGTGTACCTTGAATTCACATTATTTTATCACGTGTGTTTGTGTAACATGGATTCCCATTATTGTATATGTTTGTTCTTAGTTTTCGTTTTTTATTCAGTTAAATAATTTGTTTTTCAAACACATATGAAGGAACTTGTAGGATATCGATTGCTCCTTACGAAGCTGTAATAACGAAATATTGATCTAATACAGTTAAATTATGGAGATATGGGTCGTGATTTTATTTAAGTTTAAAGGAAGTTAGCCTTGCCCGCTTTATACTATTGCAGTTTCATGTGGATGACTGATATGTCGATTCAAATTGAAAATGACTAAAAGCATTAGCTTAATGAGCTTTTAAAATTGTACAACTTGGATAGTGTTACAAAGCACATCAAACTTTATGGAAGACCTCACCACCATTGTTGTCTGGCGTTCTAATGATTAATGTAAATAAACACCGTCTTAATGGGAATTAATTATGGGAATCCAAGGTACACAAACACATATGATAAAATAATGGGAATCCAAGATACACAAACATGTATGATAAAATAATGGGAATCCAAGGCACACAAATACACATGATATAATAATGGGAATCCAAGGTACACAAACACATATGATAAAATAATGGGAATCCAAGATACACAAACATGTATGATAAAATAATGGGAATCCAAGGTACACAAACACATATGATAAAATAATGGGAATCCAAGATACACAAACATGTATGATAAAATAATGGGAATCCGAGGTACACAAACAGAAATGAAAAAATAATGGGAATCCAAAGTACACAAACACATATGATAAAATGATTGGAATCCAAGGTACACAAACACATATGATAAAATAATTGGAATCCAAGGTACACAAACACATATGATAAAATAATGGGAATCGAGGGTACACAAATGAGGGAACTGTAATAGCTGTAATAGCAAAATACTGAGCTAATAAAGTTACATTCTGGAGATATAGGTCGTGATTTTATTTACATTTAAAGAAATGTATCGTAATGAACTCCAGTTTCCGTTAAACAAAGTTAACAATAATACTTACTTCCTTTGGTTTATCTCAATACTGTATATACTTACATGAACGTTTCTGTTTATCAAAGCATTTCTGCCTTCCACAAAACCCCATTTGGCGATCCCAATACACCTTATAGCATGAGTCATTCGCTGACTATTGGACATAAGAAATTGTCCCTCCCTTATAGCCTCCCCTATAATCTTCACATTGCCGATATTCCAACCACTAGTTATCAACCAGGCATTGGTCGTTAGAGCCGCCTAAAAAAAAAGTCAAGGTAAAGATTGGAATTCAGAATTCAAGGACTTATATACATCTGTGAAATCTTTGATGTGTGGGCGATATAATGTTGGTCAATATTACTCTGTAGTATATGAACACTACTGGACGTTTGGATCAAGGCAATCGCAACCTATTGACCAAGAGTGTCCGGTTTTTAAAATGTATATTTGTGGGGAAGAGGGAATGTTATAAAAAAAAAGGCGTGTCTTCATAATTCACTAAAGTTAGTCTTTTAACGTGTTAAACATCACATATAACTTCCATTGTTATATGTGAAGTGCTTTTAAACAGAAAAGTATTTTCTAAGTACAATTAGTGGATTTTAATCACACCTGAAACGAAATTGCTAGCTATATTTGAAATTTGTTCCTTGTGTGATATAGGACGATAGCTTTCTCTATTAGTGTGCGCTAGACATTTTAAGTGTACATAAGATAAATGATTTATCTTCTAAATTAATAATTGTAAAAGAAAAATAAAAGCTTTATTTGAAATCTCGTTTTGTGTTTTACATTATTTCTGTAGCCTGGTGAAATATTACCTACTTACGTGCATAATATCACAGAATTTATTATACTAGATAACAATAAAAGATCCTACAGTTTTTGATAATAAATAATAACGTTATTACAGTTTGAAAAATTCTTCGCGAATTATTGTGCTGAGATTTAACAATATGAACAAGCAGCAAACTATCAAATAAATCCTCGATACTGTTTTTTACTAATTGTACTATATTTTCAATGAAGAATTACATTATTTGGGCTTTACTGAACCCAATTATTTTCTTACTATTTTCATTATATTTCATTTTAAGAATATAAAATTAATTAATTAAAGAAGAAAAAAAACGTGCATTATTTCAAATAAATCATAAATATTTTTCCCACTTATCTCTTTAAATGAATTAGAATAAACTTACATTGATCAGTCCTGTGTTAAATCTCTCTTTTTGCTTTGCACTAAGGTGGAAGTTTTTAGCGCCACCTGTCACAGAAATTACCAACTGCGGTTCGTGAGGTTCCATCATTCGCCAATGAACTTTCATAAGCTTAAAAAGATCATCCATGGATGTGTCGTTCGACATCCTGATATACTGCAAACGCAATAAAAAAAATGGATTGCTCGCTGTGCTTATATAGTTGAAATGATATTGTTTTCTTAATATAGTTCTAGTGAGAATATCATGTTGTTTCTATTTCGAAACCAAAGTCTTATAAGTATAATATTAGGATACAAAACCATTCCTATACCTTCGCTGGTTTCGCTAACCCCAAACCATCCATTTGAAATTCGATTTTCCCAAAGGCATTTGTTGGAAACTCTTTTGTCCTACTATCTCCCTCATTTTCCTCTTTAAGTGTGGAAATCACGTGATTCATAGTTCCTGGAAGTACAACATCTGGAGCAATATTTTCGTTGACGTCATCATGATCAGACTGTAATCGACCACACTGACAAGCTCTGAAAATTTAATATGAAAAAATAAATCAGAAAAAAAAAGTCGCAACTTACCTTCCAACATACAAGGGTATTTTTTCTGTTGTATATATTTTTTATCTTTATTATGTTATATATCTGATATTGTTAAATTATTTGCACAACTTTGAAACATATATTATTCTTTGAGTTATTATAAAAATGTTCGCCCATTATGTAATTTCATGAGTGTTTGTTCTATGGTGCAGTCAGAGAGAAATATGTTTCTTGAATTTTTATTATTATCTCACAATTCGTTGATAAAGATTAGCCCAAGAGTTGGCATTGGGTGGTGTTGACTAGCTGTCATCGTTATAGTCTATCACTTCAAACATAGGGACGGCTAGTGCAGATAGCGTTCGAGCAAGTTTGCGCGAAATCCAACAAACAAACAAATAAAACTTGTTAATTTCTATACTGTATGATATCTAGCACTAGACACTAGGATAAAAGCTAGTTCCATCTTTCAGGGCTACCTGCGCATAGTTGTCCCTAATTTTAAAACTGATAAACTAGAGACAGAGAAGGCAGCTACTCACCATCACCCAATAAGCTGAGAACCACGTACTCTACAATTCACAGTCTGAACAAGCTAGGCCACACTTGACTCTCAAATTGAGAATAATGCCCATAAATCTATAAAGATAGCCATATATATATATACAGTCAGATACTTTGTCCTGTTTACTGGAAGGAAGGGAAAAAAACAAGTTTCGAGACAGTTAAAGAGTGGGAAATGATATTAGCTGTTGTTTGCGTGGCTACACTGCTTGTTAGACCCATCTTACTTTGAAACACAAAAGAGAAATCAGAATGCAAACCAATATAAGATATAGTCAATAACGAAACCTCAGGATAATTTGACCAAACACTGAAACATCAAAAGATAGTTAAATGTTAATTATAGTTAAAACGTTCCTGTTCTCTTCGTTTTTAAAATGAAAGTACGCCTAAGGTTTACACAATAATTACCACTGATTCAATCAAAATTACACTCACGTCTTACACAGTTTTCTGATCACCAGGTCAACGTAAAAACTATCGATATTAGATCCCAAAGTGAAAAAGTCTTTGGAGTACAACAATTTTCCAAAGCAATTGATAAACACAGAAGCTAAGTACATTCATGATGTTAAAAAACACGTAGATTCAATAAATCTTGATAGAAATGGATAAAAACCCTATAACCCGAGCGCTTTCGAAAGGTTCACCATTCGAAAGATAAGTACACATTATTAAAAACTATTTCGAAGCCTCGCCTCGTCGTTACAGTCCACATCGCCACGTCAAGTCATGCTCTATCTGATAACTGTAGTTTTCCGTACAAAAGGCTTCGTTGTAAGGCTTTCATGTTCAAAGCACATCATTCATCCACGAATGCTTTCATAAGCCATCTAGTGTACCACGACGACAGTTTCTCAGCATCCAATTCAACAGTCCAATCGCATAGAAATCTATAGGCGCTTGACTATTATGCCTACGAATGGAACAGCATGAACACCCGTTTCATTCTAGAACTGCTTGAAGTATGCAACGGTTGAGCAGGTATTTCATAGAAGCAAGTTATGTACATGTAACTTGTGTCACTTTTCGCTTTTCCAAACAGAGATCCTTCTTGATTGTGCCACATACTGTTACCTGTATGGGACATGTGGACGGTTTTTGCCATAGACCTTTATGTTCGTGTATTTTCACCTGTTACAATATGCTGCACTTTGATAACCATTGCTGGGGTACACCACTTTTTATAAGTCTCTTTCTGTATGATTCTGATGCCCCAATATTATCAATATTCCTTTGTTTTCCAATTCCGTTAATTAAGTAAAAACGTATGAGTATTTTGCGTCGGAAAGGGCTGTTACATACCCTTTTCAACAGTAGTCAATTTTCAGTGGATTCATACTACTTACACAACGTCAAACAATGTCAAAATGTAGTTCCGATACATTCCTATCCACCATGACGTTATATTGACTGTGGCAAGCTGATTTGCGTCAGCAAAATTCTTTTAATATAACGTATTCAACCCTTTCTATTAGTGTTAACATACACAGTACATCTAATCATATTTTATATGCAAATAATGATATGGTATATATTTTTATACATAGAACCTTACTTTTCTTTCTTGGTGGCGCAGGCCTCATAACGAATACACTCCTTCCTCTTAAAGTTTTGTAACACAAAGTCAATGAATTCTCTCTGTGCGGGCTGCAATAGATAAAAAAATAATGTTAAAATCGAAGTCCAGAAATTACAATGGAACACACGAATTTTAAAGTAATCAAAAATAGAAAGTGGGCAAAGAAGACTTATAGCTTTTCCTTTAAATTTTGGTCGTTGTTTGTCGTTTGGCATAAAGGTGGACATTTGTGCTGTTCGCACTGCAGGGATCGAAACCCGATTTTCAGCGTCTTAAGCTCTCAGACTTACCGCTGAGCCTCTGGGGAGCCTGCATTAATTATGCTTGGTATAATCGAACTTATTTATTTCCAAATATGAATATTATAGGTTTCACTAAATTTCAACCTAAAATAGTTGATCAACCTGAAGTGCCTTACCTCTACGACTGAATGAGTTGGTCTTGTTTTCTCTTCTGTTTTGATACCAACTTTTATGATCAATTGTTTCGGTTTTTTCATGTTGAAAATTCAAAGTCTTCAGCAACAAAAGGCAGCTGAAATGTTAGAAGTTTGTTTAAATTTGTTTTCGCTACTGTGTAAAATAAAATGTTATTCTTTAGAGCATAACGTTCTTAAGGAGCAGCAGGTTTCTCAAGAACTGTTTGCTAATTGATGATTTTAATAGACCTGTAAGGGAAAGTCTCCCTTTAAACTAAGTAATGAACACAAATACAGATAAAAAAATGATTAACGAAAGTATACGTACGGTAAATTATGATGCAGAAACACTGGTGAAAGTAGAAACTGATTGAGCATGACATAAGTTCCTTCTAAAAGGATTGCAACAATGGAGCTGTTTTTGTTTTCAATTATTAGTGATATTTTCTGTGTGAAAGTAAATAATAATGTAAAATGACATATACACCACATCATATTTGCTATATTCATTGCTGAAGAGGCCTTTCGCACAATAACAGGACAACTGGATACGACAGACGTTGTAATGGTTGAGACTCTATATTATCAAATTGCTTAAATAATAGTAAAAGAATTAAATACGATATTCTAAAGTCATCCAATGAAAATTAGATTTATCTTACTTGGTTATAGGAATTAGTGAATTAACAGATATAAATGTATATATATAACAGCAATCATATCTTTCAAAGTAATAACTTGAACATACGCTTCATCTCAAAATTTTAAAATTATAACAAAGCTTTTTCATAAACAACATTTGTAGTTTGCTTTCCATCTACCAATAAATGAATAAAGATTTTGAAGTGATCCTCTCCTTGAAC